GAAAACCGCCCCGCCAAATTTGGTGTGGAGTATGGTAAAGAAGGCGAGGAGAGGTTTTTACCACCTTCGCTAGGTGGAGGTCCACATAACTGAAAGCGGCCAAGCTTGAAGAACATTACCGCATCTGAGCTCTGGGCACCAGTGCAATGTCACCTTCTGCCAACAGTGGCCGGAATGGCAGCATGGTGCTCCCGTCCCAGCCAGATGTGAGCGCAAAGAAGCATCTTACGATTGCAATATTTAGCATATTTCACCTTTCATTCTAGTGCAATACTTTGTTTTGGCCTCGTGTGTGTGTGTGTGTGTAGGCTGTTGATGCTATAAGCTGATCAGAAATGTAGGATATGAACTGAATAAGCAAGTCAATAATTGCACCAGCCTTAGGGGCATCTGGACGGTGTGGTCAAAAGGTTCAAGATGGCAGCCGTGATGGTGCAATAGGCCAGCCTTTTTTTAACGTGCGTCGCACTATTGTGGCCATCGTCTTCACTTGTTTGGCCACACCCTGCAGATGCCTAGCCTAAAGCCCCCAAATCTCTTGGGCTCTGCGGCTCCTGCCACACCCAGCAGGCAGACCGCGTGGTGGGCATTATCTGAAAAGACTCAGCGACTGTCTCCACCTTCGTTCTTCAGGGCGGCTGAGCAGGTTTGGGAATCGCAACGTGTGTAATGAAGGGGCGGGGCTTTGGCGATGGCCCCCTCTTGACTTTTTTGACCCCCCCCCCGAGCTGACCTCAACACGAAGTGAATGCAGACGATGCTCTCGGGCTGGGAGTTCTTGCTGCTAGAGATGACGGTGGCTTCGGTCTGGATCCAGAGGTAGCCGCCATTCCTGGCCAGGAAGCGGTACTGCCCGGTCACTGCCTGCCCTTTGCTCAGCACTACCAATAGGGAGTGAAAGACAGACAGTCTAGAACAGACAGACAAACGGATAAGCGGGGACATGGGGAGAAGACGGTAAGGCGGAACAGGATTCGCTTTGCTTTCGCTCTCGCGGGGAAGAGATTATGTCCAGGCGGAAAGCAGAGCTTCCCCCGCACAAAGGCCCCCTTTTGAGCACCCTGGTTGCCCTCTTCGCCGGCCTCCCTGAGCCTCCGTCCTCCAGATGTGGATGGACAGTAACCCCCCTCATTCCTGAACAGCAGGGCGACTTTTCAAGAATGCCAGAAACGTCTCCCTCGAGCAGGTGCATCAAACCACCCAACCCTGCATCCAGAGCTCTAGAGGTTCTTTAGGCTGGCATGTATACGCGTGTGCATGTGTGCACGCACAGAGACAGACAACTGGACGTTTACATGTTCCTGCACCAAGCCAAATCTGGATCCTCTGATCTCTCCCCATCCTGTAAATTAAATGAGCACATATCTCTTTCATTTGGTTCAGGTTCCTCCACTTACGGTGGCCTCCGTGGAAGGAGGCCAAGCAATCAGTCCCTGGCAGTCCCATATATTTGTCAAGCTTCTCTTAGCCCTCCAAGGGACTAGAAACTTAAATCAATGAAGGACGATGCTATGGCCCTGCTGATTTCTGTCCTTTAGGCATCCCTCTGTACTCCATCAAGTCTGCCCTTTCTTGCTATCCTCACTTTTATTTTTGCTGCTGGGAAGGGCTCTTTCAAAGCCAGGACCTCGCTCTTTGAAAACTCGGGGCCACAAAGAACAGGCAGGACTTACGGGTGTTGACACTCTTGCTGACAGAATCGGAATCCAGAGCGTGGATGTACTCGTAGAGGGAGCAGCCAAGCAAGCTTTCGGGGGTGTAACCAGCCATCTCGACGATCCTGGCCGGGAGAGGTGGGACAATAAGCAGGAAATGTTCTGGCTGAGTTAGGCTAGCCCAGTGTTCCTCAGCCTTGGCAACCTGAAGATGTGTGGACTTCAACTCCTAGAATTTCCCAGCC